CTAATATAATTGAAAAAGTAAGAAATATTCAAATGCTTGCAAACTTAAATCAAAGGTAGAAATCCTAATTATTCCAAATTATTTATAAAATCCTTTTTAAAATCCCAGCTACTTGCCAATTTGAATCACCCTGATCCACACACACCCACGCATAGTTGTGTGTGCATGTCAATGCGGTCGAGGGTAGGAAATGAGTTTCAAAGTGCTTAAAAGTGGCTGCTGGTGTTTGGCTTTCAGTCCGATGGCCTGGAGTGTCGGCGTTGCGCTACATTAGATTAAACAGCTTAAGAAGTCAGCCAGTAATGCCGGGACACGCGCACATACGCACCCATACGACCACCACGTTTGGCTTGAATCCATGGCTAAGCTGTCAACGTGGCGTATGAGCAATGTCGCCTTTCGCCTCGCCTTTCGTTTCAACTCAACTCGCCGCCTCGCCTTTCACTTTTCGCCTTGACTCGGCGGATGGAGATGGTGATGCGGTCTTCTTGTGCGATGTGGCAGAAAAATTAGTGACCCTGAATTAAATTGCCATTATTTTCAACTCACTCGAAAAGATGCGCAAAATACACACACTCGCGTGGATTCGAGATTCGAGAGTATTTGAGCGGCTGCTGAAAAGCGGATTTAATATGAAAATTCCGCATTACGAGTTGTTTGTCGTTTCACTTTGTGTACTGTGTACTGCAAATACATATGCACAAGCAATTGCCTATCTGTGTGAGTGCCATGTGTGTGTGTATGTGCGGGTTTTGCGATTGAAATTCAATTACTTGTGTCCCTTTTTGCTGCCGCCCCAAAAGTGAACGCCTGAAAAAAAGCAAAAATAAAGAGCGAATCGGGGCTGCGAAACTTTTTCGCCCACAGAAAAAAACTCGTCATATTCAGGCAGCAAGCAATTGTGTGCGTGTGTGTGTGTGAGCCTTATATCTGGTGAATGTCATCTGGATATAGCTACAACTACGGCAGCATAACTTTGAACAACTGTCAGCCGAAAAGATGCGGATGAGAGGGGAGGGGAATGTGGAGTGAGTAGTACGTACATGCCCTTTGAGGTTGGTTAACTGTCTGCTGCGTGGTCCGAGTTTTTATCGCAGCACTGTGTCAGTCTGCTCGGCTGCTCGAGGATTTGAGTTCGTGTAGCTTTTGGCAAAGCAGGCCCGAAAATACAAAACACTATCAGCAGGCCAACACGAGCGAGGTGGCCCAAAGAAATCGAGAGACATTCCCGACATGACACACAAAGTTATGGCCTCTCGTCTGGCAATCGCATAAATCAAACCTTTTGTCTTGCAGGTGGCAAGAGGCCTTTGCCATTTTCGTTAGCTGCACCAAATGAGTTTATTATGCCACACCGAAGACCATTTAATTTACATTTTGTGGGCTGATTTAAATATTTTCTAGATTTGTGGCATATAAATTTGCTGCTTAAGCAAGTCAATGATGGAAGAGCTCCCTGGTAATTAAAGAAATTCAATTAGCAGAGAGCTCTCTGTATTGTGATTTATGATATAGTACATATGATGGATGCCACTTTGAGCGGCAATCATCGAGCATCTTTTGATTATCCGCATTTTCACTCGGCGCAAGCAAATAAAATTAATGAGCCGCAAATGCAAATCGAGGAAATAAATCCACCAAATCATATTTAAAACACGTGGCTTCATCCTTCGCGCTCACCATTGTTTTTTTTTTCGGTTTTATATTATTTTTTATGGCAGTTGTTGTACCTTTCACGTCAATTGGAATGCCATACATTTCAATGATTACGATGCGCAAATATTCAATCAACTGCCCCTCCCCTTTTTTTGGTCTATTTCCCCCTCTTTCCCCCCTTTTCGATATCCGCTCACGAATACAACCCCTATATCTTCTGTTTGTTACGGTTTTGTTTGTGGGTTTTCGCGCGGCTGATTGCTCCATGTGCGAACAATTTCAGCATTTTTCCACGTTTATTATTTTAAATAATCGATTTTCGGCCAAACATATAAAGGCGTTTATGTACGTGAGGGCCGCGGGGATGTGTATATTTTATGGCCGCAAGCTAAGGACACTCATTATTCGTTTTCGGCCTGCAATAATGCGGTGAATAAGAAACAACAGCTGAAAATCTGAAAATCCATTCCGATTGCCACATGCTCTTCCGATTTAAACTCCCAAAAATATATTATCGTATACTCGAGGTTCGGAGTATCTTTCATAATAGTTTCCAATTAGTGAGAGGATGCAGTGAACCCGCTTTGTAGGGCGTTCGCAAATCTAGAGCAATTTGTTTGTGGCCACTAAATTGGCCGGAGCCCCGCCCCTTTTCCCCATCCCCCTCCACTTGTGTGTGTGTGTGTGTGTGAGGCGTCACAGCTGCGGTTCATAAATAAAAATAAATACATCGCTTGATTTATATGGCCCTAATGAGCTCAGCGCCCAGTTCAAGCGACTTTGGGCCGAACAAAGACCGAAAAGCGGAAAAGGGCGAGCCACCAAAATAAATAAATAAAATCCGCAAGCACATCATGTAAATGCTGTGCAAATAAAAAGATACATTCGGTGGGCCAACAAAGTGGGTGGCGGTGGGTGGAAAGCGGGGGGGTGGGGGTGTTTAGGTGGGTATAAAAGATGGCTATGCAGTTGGGAAAGTCGCAGTGTTGCCTACTTTTCGGCTGCTTAGCCGCCAGGCAGCGGCCATTTATTCGTTACGTGCGACACACACACACTTATGCAAACCCCCCTGAAACACACATACACACACACATGCATCCCCAATTTGGTTTATCGTGCTCTACGTTTGATTTGCTTTCAGTGCGTGGCCATCATCATCAGCATTAGGCATGATTGTTGTTGTTATTAGACAAATATATATCTATCCAAAGCATGGCTATGGAATGGCTGGAAGGCGTGCAACTGTTTCCGGAATAATGACGCTAATTTCGTTCGGTCCGGTGGCTCCGGTTACCGTTTGTCCTGCTCTCCTTCGTCGGCCATAACTTATGGGTCGCATTTTTCAGGAACTCGCCATTCCGTCCTAATGTCAGGTGATTTGACAATGGCATTTATTAATTAAAACATGTGTCGCACGCACGAGCGCCCACAGACAGCGGATCAGGCCAGACGCTATTGATTCGATTCGTCCTTTCCCAACTGGGAAAACTCTGGCTGGGCTGGCTGGAAAAGGTTAACAGGAGGCTTTGGATGGGCGCCAAAAGACCGGAATAGAAGCGAACGGGTCACTGGAAATCTGATTTCTTTGCGAGGTGGGGATCAAGTCGATTGGGTGATTTTTAAAGATTATTTTTAATATTACTCAATGAGTAACTTTGGTAACTTTGATCCGATTTCCAAGGTGCATACCTTTAAACGATTGGGATAGAGTCCCTAAACCTTGTTCGTTTTTTAAATCGACGAAGGTAGATTTTTGCAACCCTTTTCATTTCAGATTTAAAAATTTTTCAAAACATGCACAACGGAGACCCAAAACTACATTTATCCAGCTGATTACTTTGTCAATTTTTAACCAATTTCAAAATGTAATACAAATTTTAAGCCATGTTTAAATTTTAAATTTTGTTGAAGGTTGATTTTTGTACTACTCATTTCAAATGTAAATTTACAGAGAAAAAGGCGCCAGATTAAATTTGTTCAATACATTTATTTGTTACATGTATACAATTGTATCCCTTTTGATTATGATTGTGCGAGATAAAAAGTGGCCAGTTAAATTTTTGTGTCCTTCGTAAAGTACAAAATAATAGCGATTAATGCCTCCATTGAGTCCGTATTAAAAATACCATAATGGCATTGTTTTTTAACTTTAAAACAATTAAAAAAACGAAAAAAATATCGATTCTGAGCCGATTAAACACTTTTTATCGCTGTTTGCAAGACTTTAAATGCTTTGTAATCGCAAATTAGCAACAAATAATTCGCGGGCAATCATGTCGGAGGGATGGATGGCAACCCTGGTGGGAAGGCACAGTGGGGAAAGGACAGTAGAGGCCAGAGGCATTGGGACAGAGCAGAGCAAATGAAGTCACGTACGTGCGATTTTTCTTCTGCTTTGGGGCACATATTAAAATACGTGCGTCTCGCTTTTACTATAACTTTTACACACACACACCACATATATATATATTCACTCACACAGAGAGGGAAACGCACACCAATGGCCAGAGCCACGGACACACATGCACATTAATGGCGGCATGATGAGGCAGCTAAGTTTGCGTGTTTGTTGCTGCCGTTTTCCTCACTCACAAAAGGGCTACAAATGGCTTAGGCTTTTCCGCTGTCTCTGTGTTAGTGTGTTTCTCTGTGTGTTTGTGTTATTGTGTGCTCTGGTTTCTCGTTTTGGGCTCTTATTTTTTGGTTTTATGTGCTGGCGTGCGTGTATATATATATATTTGTTTCAATTTCAATGACTGCAAACAACATTTGCACTTAGTAAATAAAATATAACAAACGCAGTGGGTCGGGATCCGCTGTCGGCACTCGGTTTTCGGTTCGTTTAAAGTTGGCCACACTCCGCTTAATGTTTTTCAGTTCTGTTCGGCCCCCTTTGCCTTTTGGCCGGCATCCAGAATACATGAGTATAGCATCCAGTGTTCAGCGTCCAGAAGCAAATCCAGAGCTGCTGCTCATTTGCATTTTGGCTGCTGCAGCTGGCCAACATGAAAGTGGGAAATGGGCCAATGAACTTGCAGACAAAGGCCTGTGTTCCATACTGGAACTTTGACTCGAAAAGGGAACACTCGCTCTAGTTTGCCCATCGCCATTCGTGTATATATTTACACCCGATGAAATGAAAAACCTATATTGCCGGCGAATAAAAGATGCAAAGCTAGGGACAATAACACCCCAAGTTTATTACTATTTTAAGATCATGGCTGGAAATAATCATATTTTATGTGGCATTTCAGAGTCGTAAATGTGAAAAAGGGACGCTTGGTTGAGCCATAACAATTTAAATTAAATTATTAAGGCAGGACTCTTTAAATTTACTAAGCAAATTTAAAAAAAAAATTATATTTATTTTTTGTATTTAATTTTTCATTTCTTTAAGGCAGCTACACATAAATTTACTTGACTTTCATTTTAAGCCTGATATTATACTTCGTTCAGTTTTCCTTTCCTTTAAAAAAAACTGATGTTTTCCTTCTGAATATCTGTCAACACTGGTACTTTCTGGTAAGAACAAACAGAAACAATATCCCATTCCCTCGTCTCTCCTCCAAAGACCAAAGTCATGTGCTCCGCTTCGCTTGGGGACAGTGGGATACCCATTGTTGACTTGATTTGTATGCGCCTTGGCTTAGTGCAATGGCCACTTTGTTTTTTGGTCTCGAGCCCGGCCACTCGAGATTCCCCCATGCCGGCAGCTTTATTGAATTTCCTGTGATATGCAAAGCGACGAATCTCAAGATAGCAGATATGTCCTCGACAGGACGGCCAGAATGCCGAGGACATCGCACCATCTTCTGGGCGATGTCCTGGCCATTCTGTTCCTATCCTCGTTGCAGGGACACGAGTGTTCGCACAATCCGCAGGTTTGCTCCCAGTCCGATTGGTTCTGGTAGTAGTAACCGGCCAATTGCTGACACCCCATCTGCGGAGACCACAGGCAGCACCAGTCCATAATCGGTCCTATTAAACAGATATTTTACCATACAATACGATATCTATTAATCATTTTACCTATCACGGCGTATTTCTCGGGTACACAGTCCCCCAAAGTAGAGTAATCCGATTGTGCTTCCGTTGTAAACTTGATTTTTTGCCTGTCCGTTTTGTTTGTGCAGAAGATGCCGGATTTTGATATTAAACACCTTGCCTGGAGTTGCTTGCAGTTCGAGCACTTCGGATCTGATTCGTTTAATTCAAATGTTCTCAATAAGCCTATACAGCACAAAACTAACAACGTGATCACACCTTTTCTGGTGAGCATCTCCAATTTGTGTATAATGTGTGTATTAACGTGTGTTGTTGAAAGCTAATTCAGAGTTGTTTTTAAACGAAGTCTTTACAGAACCATTGAACCATATTTTTCATTGATTCCCCTAAATCACACCCTTAAGATATCATATGCAGAATGGATGTAATTAAATCCAAGATCTCGATAAAACTGTAAGTGCTAGGCAATTCCCATTCGATTTAAAAAAAACAATTTCACCTCGGGAAGTCAAACAGTTTTTTCCGGTTTCCTCATTCGTTTGTGTGAAAATATATCAGCCGCAATTTATCTGCCCCGCCACCTTTCCTACGTGCGTGTTCATGTGTGCAGGAGTTCGAGGAGTTGGAGGATTCGGGAGGATACGGGAGGATTTGGAAGGTGCGAGGCAGACCCTCCAGAGCCTGATGAGGGTTAATTTGCCAACGGCTCAACAATTCATCAGCCAGTCCAATTAACTAAGCGCGACCCATTTCCCCAGCGAGGCGGCGCGACTTGTCGGGTGTTATAAATTTAAATTTAAAGGCCAAACAAGGCGCGCGGTGCCAAGTGCTTTATCGCTCTCCTAGCAGATTCGCTGAAATTAAGAAAAACTGCCTGCCTTCCTGTCTGCATAGCCAGTTCCAAAATCCAAAGTCGAGCACCCCGCACCGAGTCAGCGAGCAGCTGAGCAGCTCTTGGCCAAGTGCAGGATGTCCGAGCAGGTGAGCTCGGCTGGCCAACTACTTGTATTTCGCTGCCCGACTTCGTTGACAGCGTTCGCACTTTATCCTTGTCAGCTGTTATCGTTCGTTTGTTGCTCCGCCGGCGAACGAGGCGTTCGGTTTGAGAAATTGCCGCACAAAAGTCAACGTGTAACGAGAAAATAATAAATGCCATTAATACAGCAGGCGGCACTGAGGGACAGACAGGACCAACAGGACAAACGGGACAGACGGGACAGACAGGACAGCTGGGAGGCCAGAAAGGGAAAGCGGGCCAGATGAAAACGAATGGAGTATGAAATTGAAAAGCCAAGAGCATAGTTTAAAGATCCTGCGATGAAAGATAGCCGAAGGTTGAAGTACCCTTGGTTGTGTGGCATACAACCCCAAATTTGGAATCGATTTTATGAGCTTAAGATTTGTTATAAATCAACGAGAAAATATTTTTCCACCGACTTGATTTCTTCCAGATGGGGTTTTTTAAGTACTATCGAATTTCAACTTAAGGGTGAGCCTGCTTAAAAGAAATAAAAAAATTGATTTTTGATTATAAATAAATATGAACTAAATTTCTTTAAAACCGGACCACGATATCGTATATTTCTCATGGGAACAATCGGTGAAAATATGGAAAAACAATTAAGAAAACTATCATTACTTGAAGTCGTTTCGCCTTTATGCATTTTGCTTCTCATGATTACAGCTTGTTTACCTTTTTGATATTGATATTTTTGATATTAATACCTTTTACGCAACCTCATTATTCATGACATGATACCAATACGTGTTTATAAATCAATGGCCATTTCCACAAATAAATTAAAGTTATTTTCCAGTCTTCAAACATCAAAGCACTAAAGAGTAACAAACAGAGCGTTATCAGAATATTCAATAAACCGATTGCTTTCATATATACGTAACTTTTTCCGCTGCTTCATAAGCAGTTTAAAACACAGCTGAATGATTTCCATTTGATATGCTCGGAATTATGCTGTGATCAATTATTGGGGGCTTACTTCTGTGGAATCCTGTTTAAGACCAGGTGGCGATTGTCACGCAATGGCAGTGGCAATGGCCTAAAGGCTGCGAGGTTCTTTACTTTTATTGACAAACTCGACGAGAATTTGTGCGAAATGTGCGTGCGCGACTTGGCCAGGATATCCCTTATCCTTTGAGTGTTCTTCACCGCTTTCGTTTTTATTTTTTTGGAGGACAAACACACAAAAAAAAGGGGAAGCTGCATGTGTGTTAGTGCGGTTTTTTGGTTGGGCGTGGCCCAGGACACGGCATTTTTTGCCGTAGTTGTTGCCTGTGTCTTTTGTTTCCACCTCGTGCCACTTGACATTGCTTGCGGTTTGTTAGCGGTCCGGGCGAATTCCAGTGTGCAACAATCTCGTACGGGAAATTTTGTTATTCAAAACACGACGGATTACCGTTCATTCCGCTTACTCTCACACACACATAGGCGATTCGGAAGGACTGAGTAGGGAATGCACTGGGAAAAATGGATATACGTAGTAATTTACTAATCATTTTTATTGATTTCTTTTCTAAACTTAACTTTACATAAAATATAGATTAAAAATATTAAAAATAATTGTTAGGCTTAAATAGTACAATTTCTAATATACATTATTTAAATATATATACATATTTATTTATTTTGCTATTTCTTTAAAACACATAAATAAAATGAAAAGCCATTCTTTTTTGTAAGGAGCTTTGGGAAGACCTTTAATGATGTTTATTATTTTTTTCAGTGTATACACACGCATGCCTATGTGAAGACCGCAGGCGGCACCTTGCCCTGCTACTCGTGTTGCTGGCGTTGTCACACGGCGCACATTTGTTAGACACTAAGCCCGTGTATGCCTCTCCGGTCGGGATAAGAATGTTTATTATGTTTATCGCACACACAAGCACACACTCTAGCATGCAGTAACACACACATACACACACTTCTACACACAGTGGAGACAACTACAAGCCAAACCGCAAAGCAACCGCACGTACGGAACTTAAAGGCCTGACGGCAAATGACAGACAACAAAACGGCAAAATGAAGCCGCCGCCGTTTCCGTTTCCGCTCGCAGCGGCCATTGTCTTGGTTAACTAACTTCAAAATGGCGACACGCCGCTCCGCGCAATTATGACCACGCCTACGACTTTTGGCATTTTCCAATGCCTTTTCTTTTTTCTTTTTTTAGATTGCTGCCAGTTTTTATTTCGCTTTATTAAATGCTTCAGGTAGCTACTTAAACACGTTTTCGATTAGAGCAGCTGCTGTCATTACTCAAAGTCGCAGGGCGAAAGGAAAAAAGGACGAGGATAACAGCAGAAACAGGACCCAGTCTCGTCTGTCTTTTGCTTGTGCGAAGAGGTGGAGCTTTTCCTTTCTGTTTTTTTTTTTTGTTCGTTTAGTATCCCCTACCTGCGATTTTCCTTATTTTCCGCCGCTTTCTTTTTTGTATTGTGTACATCTTCAATATTTTATAATAAAGTGAAATTCCAGGAAGAGGAATACAAAAATGTGCAGCTAAAGTTGCGATTGGAGGGGGAGTGGAGGTGGAAAGTCGGGGGATTTCTGCTCACTGGAGTGTGCTGATAAGGCTGGGGATCAGCTTAAAAGAAAGGGAAATTCGCAGTATTAAAATCCGAGGAGGGCGAGGAACAAAGAATATTATTTCTGTAATCAGTAAACTACTTTATATATTTTTTTTGTGATAAGCCAGACTTAAATTTAACTAGTTGCAGTGGTGCAGCGAAGTTGTTAACTGGGCTAATATCTGCCAGCCATAACTTTATCTTTTGGACAAAGAGCGGAAGTTGCGAAACTTGAATCAGCGGAAGTTTAAATGGGAAATAAAAAGATTACAAGGGTTTACGCGGACCAAAAAACAAATGTTACTCCAATGAAAATAATGTTATATGTTTTATAAACTTATTCAACTTATATAGTATATAAGTAAACTTTTTAAATTGATTATTTTGTGATCTATGCATCCAACTTTTCCCATTAGTTTATGGAAAGGAAAAACGAACCACCCTACTGGACACTCCCCCATTTTACAGTGTTTAATCATGACGGGAGCTTGGCAACCATGTCGAAAAGTCGAGAGAATCCATCATGAAATCATGGTACGTAGGATACCTCGAAAACAGCCACAACCTGTCATAATTTTATGTCTTAAGCCGATGGACGGTGGCGGAGTGGAGCAACCTGAAGTGGGGCTTCTTTAAAAATAAATCTGACGGTACTTTAATGTTGTATCCTGTTATCGCTGGCGACGTGCAGCTGTCGCTATTAGCGAGCGACTGCCGTGGCCTCCATCCTGTTTCGTCCTGCCAAACGGCTGCCCCCTCCTTATTTTCAGATGCGGCGTGTTGACAGGATATTTACAGGATTTCTATCAATATGCCGGCATTAGCACGTACGCCTGCAATGAACGTGAACGTGAGTAATGCCAGCCGAAAGCAGAAATACGCCAAATTCAACAAAAAGGCCCGAAAGAAAGACAATGGGAAGCTGTCGAACTTGCCGGAAGTTGCCATGATTAACTTGGCTTCTAATTTAATCATAATTCAACAAACCAGCTGATACTATTTATATTCGCAGCAAACTTTCGATTATTTTTGATCTAAACTTAGTTAGGCATTCATTCATGTACTGTAGTATTTACCATTAAATCTGTTGTGAATCACTAACAAAATAAGTGTAACCTCTTTTCTTTTTCACCTTTACGTTCTTAAACAATTCTTTTGAATTCATTTGCTCTGATTGCTTTTATTTCTCGCCGCTTTCTGTTGCAAATTGAAAGATCAACAAGACTCAGGCGCCGACCGTTAAACTTATTCCTGTTAAATTATTTACATTTCATTTGTACCTGCAAGTCCGTTGCCTCAATGGGTTAAGACGAGGGCCCAGTCAATTGTTGCCGGTCAAACAAAAACTGGCACAACAACAAATATAAACAACAACATCTACAGCAATAACAAAAACAACAACAACAACAACGGGGGAAAGGAGCACAAGTATTTGTGCTATTTAAAATTTGCTTTACCAAACGTCAAGTGGCTTGGCAACGGCAGTCAGGCCAAAGTGCCACTCGTTCCAACTTAACCTCTGGCCCTGGCCACGCCCCTTCCTGCCCCCCACACGCCCCTTTCAACCCGGCTTGTATGTGTGTGTGTGCGTGCGAAAGAGAGGGCCGAACAAGAGGGGCTCAACTGAGGCCTATTGGCCATAAATTATTAATGATTACTAGCCCGAAATTACAGTTAACTCACTTATTTGCTCATTCGCAAATGAAGGCCAATTGCAGTTGGGTGGCATTCAAGA